CAACTTAAGACAAGAATAACCGAACATGAGAGAAGAAGAACACCGGCCTACGAACAAAGCAACTCTGACAAAACTAGAACTAGACTCAGCGATCGCTCTTCACGTCATAGTCGAAGGTCACACTATAGACAATGACAACCCGAAAATACTCCAAATCAGATTTCGAACATGCACTGAACGCTCGGATGCCGAAGCTTTGGCCATTAACAACCGCTCTGCTTGTGTCAACAGAAATGACGGAACCGATATTCCGAGCATTTGGACTATCCCAACATCCCTAACGCGCAATCACGACGAAGGTCACGGTGCCAATTGACCCCATCTGATAACGGGAGTTAGTATGACGGACAACGAATCATTCAGCCCACCACACACACGCACATGCACAGAGACACACACACATGATGAAATATCCGTTAGTTTGTGATTCTTTCCTCTGAGTCATTTGACTGTAAAAGCTGCCTTGGGAAAGGTTACCCACGGTAATCGAAACGTCGGTGAATATAATTCTCTACTGACATCGCTGTGTTATTAACACTGCAACATTCACAACTTCCTTATGTCTCGAATGAGAAGAATTTTGGTTTCATTGTTCAAGCAGACTAAAGGTGTTCTTTAAACTGCTCCACGGTGTCATCCACCGCTGTAAGCATGTTGGTTTGCTATAGCGAATATTTGGCAAATTTGAACCTGTTGTTCCCATGTTTGTTATCAGCCCACATTCGACCACATATAGAGTACGCAATTCAGGCGTGTAATCCATGGCTGCAACGTGACCGTAAGATTCTGGAATGCCCAAAGAGAATGGCCACCAAAATGGTCATGGACTTCATTCCAAGACTGGAATCAATGAGGCTGTGCTCCATATAGTATCACCCAAATCGACGGGACTTGATTTTGACGCAGCAAATAATGAGGAATCCTGATCGCCCATGTTGTTCACTGTTGGCCTTGTGGCCAAACACTCACCTCAGGAGGCACTAATTAAAATGAGTGCTCCAAAACTATCGACTAGAATGCCGGCGTCATTCATTTGCTTTCAGAGTATGCACTATTTCGGAATCCTGTAACACTCCACGTTGTTTCTTTGTCCACAATTGATTCATCCAAGCACAAGCTGGATGAAACTTTGACAAGTTTTAAATTTCGAAATCCGTAGCAGTGCACGAAACAGTGATAGTTTGTGGCATTCCTCATCTTTCTACGAAACGTAATTCCATCCATTTGTGTTATACCCTATGGGATATGAAAAGCAACCGCTTGTAAATATTTTCCATGGTGAAATTTTGACTTTGACTTCCATTCCAACGAACATCTGTACACTCACCCCGTGCTCAAGGCTGATTGACAATTCGATCTAGATGCTCATAAATCAGATCATTCCTAAATTTGTGGTACGGTTGATGAAAACCAAATAGCACCGAAATCGGAGACTCGAATCATATTGGTAATACAGAGTTACCTAACCCGCAGATGCGTCGCCACAACGCGAACAGAGAAACTCAAGCATGAATCTTTGATGAGTCGCTTCATCTCAATTATGTTTGTCAGAAGTTCTCATTCCGTCAGAGGTTGAAGGGCCAAAGACTGAAAATCAAATTTTTTCCTAAAAGTCTAGTTATTGGTATGAGTTATTGTAACGCTTTGCAACCGCACCAGTAATGCTTAATTGTGAGTGTTTGTATCTGATTGGACCTGTTGGGTTCATGGTGTTCTGCTTATTTTGCCTTGCATGTTTATCTTTGACACCGACTGACGAAGAAATTTTCGGTCGGTGTTTCCTCGCGACCAATTACTCCGGTCACTTCCCTACCCACATCGCGGTTCCCTCACCGTCGTAAATCACCCACNCCAGTCTCGTATGGTCTTCATCTGCGAGAACACGAGTTAAAGACTACCTTATTGCGCATCCCTGTCTACTCCGCTGCTCTGGGAAAGTCCGGAGTAAGTTGGCATCAAACCATCACGAATTTTCTATGGTGCACATTTCGTTCACATTTTGTAGTTTCCTGTTTCTCTGCATTACTCGTTCTTCCTCTCTCACCGATCTGCAGATCCTCCAATTATGATTCATCCACAGCGAAGGACATTAAGCACGATAAATCATTGCGCATAGCAGCGTTTAGCGCTTGCTGAATGAATCAGATTCGAGTCGCAAAACACTTCCCGAACTTCGTTATTTTGTTTACATCATTCATGTTCACTTTTGCAAGTAACTTGACGAAATTTCTGTGGATTTCGTTCTTTGATATTGAGTGTGAAGAATTAGAACTGTAACCATCTGCTGGTTTTCTCATTGGCCGGTGATCAAATGAAATCCTCCCAATATCGTATTAACAAAACAAACAGAAAGGAAGAAATTGAAGATACTTTTCAACTCATTGAGTACATTTTTCGTTAAATGATTAACGTATAATCGCAGTTGTAGCCTCGCGGTTGATTCCACAGCAGCCAGTACCACGGCGGATTCGGAAATAACCCTGCAAATGAAAACGAGGCACAGTTGTATGCATATGAGATTCAAAATGTCTCGTTTTGGCAAGTTTTCGCCATTTTGTACGCACCCATTTTCGTTTCCACGCATCCAATTTCGACGATAATCGTCCCACTTGTATTGAACATGGAAGCGTTTTCCAACCACTTGTAACTCATCAGGCATTTCAGTCGCCTATTCCTATAGCTGGATGATTCCCATTTCAATGAACCGAATTATAATAACTATAGATATATATCAGTGATAGTACGATTTGGTTTAGTTAAAGCACAGGACATGCATGCACTCAGGCATTTTGAACGCTCGACACAAAATGGAAAATCACAGCGTTGCATCAGCCGTGACCGATTCTAAGCTGTGATAATCAGTGGTGTGAGTAACAGCGGCAACGGTATCCATAAATTAACATACATAAAAAAATGTTGACAAAGTAATGAAAATTGGTTCTCGTAGCTCGGGTGAAC